AAAAAAAAAAATGTAGTTTAGACGTACCTTAAGACACAGGCTTTCAGGAATACGTATGTTGGAAATTTAACCTGAAGCTGCCATAACACTGTTGACTTAGCTGAATCTACCAAGAAGAAGGAGGCTAGCTCGAAACCCAAACCCTAATATAGAACTTCATCCTGACGGGTGCTAACAGTGGGTGTTATTTTAATAATAAGGATGAATTAATTAAATTAATTAATTACTTTAATTAAAAACAAACAAACAGAGTCTAAATAGCAGCCACATGAAAGCTCAACTGCTACCACCACAGGACAGATTCAGCTCTTAGTTAATGGGCTCATTTGTCCCAGTTGGCAGTCCCATGTGCCATCTCATCCCTTGCTACCACCTTCCCCCACTTTTCCCCAGGAATAAAACTGACCCAGAATACTTCCCTTCAGCTATGGCACAAACTCTGGAGCTCTTAAGTTTTACTTATTCTTCCCTTAGGCCAAAAGTCTTATTAGCTTCAGTTATGTTTTGCCCAAGTGAGGCATTAATGATCACAGATGGCAGCCTTTGGAAACATCAAAGGTTTCTCAGCCTCTCCAGTTAAGGGGAACAATCCTGATTTCTGAGAAAAAAATTATTAAATTAACCCTCCATCAGAAGTGACTCCAATCGTTCAATTATATCAACACTGCCTATCACACTCTGTGCAGGAGACCAGAGCCACTCCATTTGTTCCAGTTGCATCTCTCTTTGAATACTAATTTTTCAGTGGAAAAAAAAACCACTAAGAAAATGAACACAGACCAAGTCTGGTGCAGTGGCCTGTAGCAATGAGTTGATTAAGTCAGGGGTGGGCCTTCTCCTTTGCACACTGTGGTTTGTTTTTGAAACTGGAAAGTACAGATGGAAAGCAGAAATAAATCCCTGGTTTAGCAAGATATCCCTTGCTAGTGGGGTGCCTGTCTTACATCAGCTAGTGAAACATTGTAAAAAAAGAAGCTCTAAAGCCCAAAGCTTAAATAACAGAACTGACTGATCCCACAATGAACAAACTGCTGCAAGAAAGAGATGCGGCAAGCCTGACTGTTTCTATACAGTCAGTGCAATAGGTTTATTCCAGCCTAACTCCCTGGCTTGCAAGCCACATTGAATGCATGCCTTTACAAAACATCTGCTGACTCAGGCACAGAGAATTTATGCCCAAATCCTTCAGTTAAGAAAAAGGAGAATTTCACTCATGCTTTTGGTCCACCATTCTTAAGGTAGGTTATCAAAAATTCTACCCATATTTCTTAAATATATAAAAATGAAAAAGTAATAAAAATGCAGAAATACTGATTAAGAATTCAAAAATGCTCACATGTTGAACCTGAAAGGTCAGAGCCAAAACTTATGGCATCATTTTCCTCATATGGAGATGCTAAAAACACCTCCACTTTACTTATTTTGGAGGAGCGCTTATCTTTAAGTGGTGTGCTTGCTCTCCTGAATCTAGATGGTGCATTCACTTCAGATGTTGCTTCACTGACATCTGCTAAGGAAGTACATTTATCATAATCCTTTTCTGTTTCTTCCTTTGCTTTATTTTCATTTATATCCATCTTATAGGTCTTGATAACAGGTGTACCCTTCTCTTTTTCCTTGGGAAGGGTTTCAGTCGATTCTAGATTAGTCTGTTCTGTTTTCTCAAATGCTACATTTCTTTCAGGGAGAGCAGAAACTCTCACTTCATTTAACACACGATCTTCCTTTACAGCTTTGTCATTTTGTTTCACAGTCTCACTCTTGATTGGTATCTTAAACTCTGTGCGATAGCCACTTGAAGCACTTGGACCAGAGTGTGGCATTTTAACGCCTAGACTTCCCTTTTCTGCGTCATTGGGTGTTTCCTGTTTTCCCATCTTTGTTGGCAGCCGAGATGAAACTTCAGATGCTTCTTTGAGAAGTTTTTCTAAGCAGATATTTAGTTCGCTGCACTCTGCTTTTGTTGGAGCAACAGTTTTTTCCACAGTTTCTCTTATTTCTTGGGGATGGTCCAGCTCTTGTCGGTAAGGGAAATGCACACTCTGATTAGGCTGCGTCATACTCTGGATTTCACTATCCAAGCTTTTCAGTTTAAGAGGTGGAGGAGCTTCAGAGGCTTCCTTAAGCAGTTTCTGCAAACTAGTATTGAAGTCTCCAAGCTCAGATTTGGAAGGAGCAACAGCTTTTTCTATGGTTTCATTTACTTCTTGCGGGTGGCCAATAGCTTCTTGGTAAGTCAAATCTAAGCCCTGATTAGGCTGTATCCCCACACTCCTCCGCATTCCACTGTCCATGCTTTTCAGTTCAGGAGTTTCCATTTCAGAGACTTCCATCAACAATTTCTCTAGTCCAGAATGAAATGCATTGAGTTCTGATTTGGAAGTAGCAACAGATTTTTTGACCGTTTCATTTACTTCTTGCTGGTAAGCAGAATCCACATGCCTATTAGACTGTATCTTAACATTCACTATACTGTATGTCTCATGGTCCAATCTTTTCAGTGGCTTCCGTAAGCAATTTTTGTAAGCTAGCATTAAATTCACTGGGTTCTGATTTGGAAGAAGCAACAACTTTTTCTATGGTTTCTTTTACTTCTTGAGGATAGTCGATATCTTGTTGGCAAGGCTGTATCCTAACATGCATCACGTTGTCAATGCTTTTTTGTTCAGAAGGTGACATTTCAGAAGCTTCCTGAAGCAGTTTCTGCAAACTAGCATTAAATTCATGGAGTTCAGGTTTTGCCTGAACTGTTTTTACCAGTATTTCAGTCACTTCCTGATGATTACCAGGAGAAACAGGATAATAAGTCCGATCCTCTGGCTGAGAGCTTACATATTTTCCACTTTTTGCATGTAAAGGTAATGGCATTTTAGCTGCCCCACCATTTGGTTTCTCCAAGCGTGTACTGATTGAGCTAACGTTATCCTGATATGGAACTGCAGTTCTCTCTGCAGTCCTAGTCTCATTTGGAGTCCCAGCCCTTTCATGGGCAACAGGAGAAGTAGCCTGCTCAATCTTTATGACCCTCTTATAAAATGTGTGCTTATCTTCTTCAGGCATATTCTCAGGCACTGCTTTGTTACGGTTTTCTATCTTGTACGATGGTGAGATTACAGATGCTTCCTTAAGTAGTTTCTTTAAACCTGTGTCCAGATTGTGGAATTCAGCTTTTGGTGGAACAATGGTTTTTTCCACAGTCTCTGAGACTGCTTCTCCAGGAGGCTGTGATTCATTCTGGGTCATGACATAAGTAGCTATGTTAGGACATGGTGTCTTTTGAGAAGAGTTTGGGATGACTTCTTTATGAGAACTTTCTCTCCAGACATTTTCATCCCCATCTGCTGACTGATCTAATGGACAGGAAGCATCAGATTCCTTAAGCAGCTTCTCTAAACCAATTTTAAGTTCATCAAATTCATTTTTGGATGGAACAACTGATTTTTCTATAGTTTCTTTTACTTCTTGAGGAAGTACTACCTCTCTTTGATAACTAGGAAAAGTGTTGTGACTCCGTTCCATCACCTTTTCAAAAAATCTTCTCTGACTTGGCCAAGAAACCGTCTCTTCAGAAATATTTTCTGGTACATTCTGACTAGAAGAGAATGTTGTTTCTTTTAGCAATTTCTCTAATGCAGCAGTAAATGCATCAACTTCAGCTTTTGATGGAGCAACAGTTTTGTCTACAGTCTCTACAACCTCCTCTTTAGGAGATTCTGCTGCTTGTTCCTTGTAGTCTGTGGGAGCAGTCTTGCTCTGAATTGCTTTTGCAGAAAAAATTAGATGTTGATCAAGTCCCAACTCTTTTCTTGGAACACCTTTAACACCAGCCGGTTGGGATGTTAGCAAGGGTGCCTGAGACATCTCTTCAAGCAGTTTCTGTAAGCCACTGTTAAATGTGCTATGCTGTACTTTTGATGGATCAATCATTTTTTCAATATATTCTTTAACTTCTTGCTCTGGAAGATCCACCTTTTCTTTAGGTTTTGAGATCACAGAGTTTCCTACATTTTTCCCCACTATCTGGACAGATTCTGCATTTTCTGTTCGTGTCAGATTCACTGACCAAGGAATGGGCTGCCCTTCCTGTCTAGGTGACTCGGGTACTTTGATGTTTATTTTCTTTGTTTTTTCCCTCAAGGAAAATTGATTTTGTTGTGGAACCATCACCTCCTCCTGACTCATTTCTGCTCTGCTTCCTTTGAGTTCCTTTGACTCTTTTTGGTAAGTTAGTGAACTATTACTACTTGGGAAAGTGGTTTCATTTTCCATACTGGTCCTATTCTGTGATTTAGCTCCAATATCCCAAAAGGTTCTCAAACTCTCAAATTGCAATGGGTTGGAAATTTGATTCTTAGACTCCTCATCTATTTTTTCCTTCAAAGACAAAACCTTAAAGCTGGGCTTCTGCTGCGTAGAAGAGGGAATTCTGTCATTTTCTGAAGATACTTCTTTCCCATCTTCATACTTGTTTGGTGAAGCAGAAGTAAAACCAATTCCTGGTTTCAAGTGGTTTGCTTTTGGCAATTTTGTAAATTCATTAACCTTACCATCAGATTCAAGTGTTTTTTTGGGCTTCTCAACAGCATGATCCGATTTGGATTTATCCATTGTATCTGTCCCAGTCTTTGACGACTTTAGAAATTTATCTTTAGATGTCTCATCATCACCTAATTCAACTCTTCTAAATGAAACCAAATGATACTTGTTTTGATCTTTTGATTCGTTTGATAAGAATGCTGCAGAAACATCAGCAGGTTTTACTTTGCTACTTTCTTTACCGATGTATTGTATTGTGCTACTTGCTGATGGGGTTGTATTTAAAACACCTTCCTTAGTTGTATGCCTGGGGCCAATTTTGTCCCTTTCCCAAAAGGCCCTAATATCCCTTACACTTCTCTTTTGTTCAGTCTCATCATCTGAGATTTGTACTGGAGATGGCTGTTTGGATTCATGCTGTGACAAAATGGGTAGTTTACTCCTAGAGCTGTTTGAATCTAGTTGCATAACTCCTTGATCCAGTAAACCAGGTTCTTTTCTCTCTCTTCCTTTATTATCAAATCCAGTCTGTGACTGAACATGGTCTTCCTCTACGAGAGATTTGATAGTGCTCCTTTTCTCTTCTTTTGGAATTCCTGTTTGCACATTAGTTTTCAATATCGACTCTTCATTTAGCTTTTCAGGAGAAATGAAATTATTTGAACCTGGTTTGCCTTTTCCATCGTCAAGAAATGTTGGTTCTTTATATGCTGCACTTTCATTCTCTGGTTTGTATAACATTTTGCCGTCTGCACCTGATTTTTTAAGAATATTTGTTTCATCTAATTTAGTAACTGGGAGATCAGTGAACTGTAAATGTATCTTCTCTCTACCACTTTTGCTCTTTCCAAGTACAGTAGGTCCTTTGTTATAGTCTGTTCCTTGAATCTCTTGATTTTGATTTTCTTTTTTTCCTACTTTTAATATTTGTATGTCTCCTGCATCAGCTGATGCAGGCAAAACACTGCTTTGCTTCCCATTACTTCCAAGTGACAAGTCAATCAGTTGTGTATTTTCATCTGTGCTAAGTCCAGTATCATTTCTATGTAAGACTCCTGTCGTGGGTGGTAAGTTCAGTTCTTCTTTAGACTCCCTCCCTTGGGAGGTTACCGATGGAGTTTTCTCATCACCAGTATTGGAGCTTCTTTTAAACCAATCTAATACTTTTGATATGGATTCATCAGCTGCCTTAATGAACTCAGAAGCATGCTTGTCAGGCTTGGAAGTGGTTTTAGCCCTTTGATCCTCAACAAGAACAGGCTTACCTTGTTGAAGGTCTGCAGAGCTGGCATGTGGCAACTGAGGAGATTTTGTCTTAGCAGAAAGTGGCTGCTGATCTGTAACATAAAAGTACCTTTCATGATAAGGAGTTGATAAATATATGATTTTGCTGAAACAGATTTTCCATCTAGCTTGATAAAAAAAAACACTACTAGTGCTCATCATCATACCTTGTTTCCCCTTCCCATTACTGCTTGTTATTTTTAAAACTTAAACAAGACCAGCAATAAAAAACCCAACATAAAGAGTGATGTGATGGGGTTGGGAGGACTCGCTCTTGAGAGCCTGTCAAAGTTTACAACCAATTTACAACCAAAAGTAAGGGTGGTTTCCTTGCCTTTTGCAGGGATGAGTTAGCAGTATCTTGAGATGAGGTAAAAACCACAAAATTTCTTCATGGGGTACATAAATAATTGAGATTTGTTTTTGTTTTGCATCATAATGGCTGTGATTAAAAAAATTGTGGGTTAAGAGAGTCCTCGTCTAGACAGCCACATGATGCTTCACTTTCCAGCAAATCACCACTACAAATTACACAATCTCAGGCCCACCAGCATGGGGCAGGGCAAAGGAGGCAATTTGCTACTACAGCAGTGGCGGCTGGGGCCCCGGCCCCCTTTGAACTGTAGTGAGTGCCAGAGCGCGATTCCATGCAGCTCTGAGGGTTGGAGTCCAGTGCCTCGGTCCTGGAAGCACTAAGGGCTGACAGCCCTTGGCCCCCACTCCTTCCAGGGGTGCAGAGCCAGTGCCCACAACCTTGCCCCAGGGCCCACAGTGACTGTCAGCCTGCTGTGCAAGCTAACACACATATCGCCCACATGTTTGTTCTTTTGGGAAGAATATGGATATACTGGCAGCACAGCAATGAAAATAGGCTTGTAGAATAAAACTAGAATAATTTATGAATAAGTAAATCCTTGATCCAAATTAAAACTTTAGAAATGGTTTGCTCTTCAGAAACATTTATGTTTGCTTATAAATATGGCATGGTGATTCTTACTCAAAACTGTATTTTTCATTATTTCAACAGTTATACAGTAGACTTCCGATAATCTGGCACCCTTGGGACTCAGAGGGTGCCGGATTATCGGATATGCCAGAGTATCGGGAGGTACTCTGGCGGGGTGCTGTGATGGGTCTCCTGGGACCCGCACTGCGCTGGGGGTGGGGGTTGGCGGGGAACGGCGCAGGGAGGGGCGAACCCTCCACCGTGTTGCGGGGAGGCGGTGGAAGCCCTGCGCAGCCAGCTTGCAAATGGGGAAACTCAGCCGCTGGCTTGTAAGTGGCGGGGGGGGGGAGGAAGTAGCTGTTTAAGGCGGGCAGGGGTTGGCGGGGAACGCTGCCTGCCTCTTGCCCCCTCTCCACCTCCGCCACCACTTACAGGCTGGTGGCTGAGTTTCCCCACTTGCAAGCCAGCTGCGCAGGGCTTCCACCGCCTCCCCGCAACACGGCAGGGGGTTTGCCCCTCACAGTGCTCCCCCCCTCCCCCGCCTGCCTTAAATAGCTGCCTGCCTCTCACCCCCTCTCCGTCGCCACCTCTGGGAAGCTCCAATTGTCCGTCTGGCTGGAGCACTTCTGGGTTCCAGTTGGTGCCGGACTATCAGGAGTACCGAAACACTGGATGCCCGCCAATTGGAGTTTTACTGTATTTTGTTTCCATTTAACTGACATTTCTTATTTAATCATACATGTTAAAAACCCCAAATCATAGTTCCATTATTACTAACAACAGACAGTATTTGATCAATTTCTTCAGTCTTTATGCAGGCAAAGCTAGCAAAGACTTTAACACAGGAGTTTTGCTTGGGTAAGGATATGTTTGGTCCATATATGTGTCTCTCTCGTTGCTAATAAATATGCTTATCCACATTTCAGCCTGGGAAAGTTATTAACCAGTTTCTGTTTTTAAAAAATGAAATTAACAGAGCATATTCCCAAAGACTGAATGTTCAGATAATATTTAGCATGTTAGAAAATACTTAAGTTGTTTAGTGTGTGTGAAACCAGTAAAATTAGTAAACAAGCAGAAATATTCTGGAAAATACAGAACGCTCTCTCCCTCTCTCTCTCTGATTAGAATATTACTGGGCAGATTTATGACTATTTTTTAAATTGTTATTTACCCATCTCAATATTAACTCATTTGACTTGTGTTGTCTTACCAATAGTGTATTTTGGTGACTCCAAGTCAGGATTCAGGGACTGTTTGGATGTATCTGGAGACAATGTTTCATCAACAGTTTGCACTTTCTTGACATTTGGTGAAATATTACTGGAGGATTTTCTTGGAGTTACAGGTTCCACAGAAGAACTTGTCTTAAACTGCAAGGTTTCATTTACTGGTAGGCATGACCTGTTAGCATCCGATACATATGGTGATCTCTCTTCTTGTGAGACATTTCTGTCTATTGCATTAACATCTAAAGCAGAAGATTGCGAGTGTGGAGATTTAATAGGGAGGGTTTGTTCATTTTGAAGTGCATCTAACCTACTGGTGTCATTTTCTCCATTCTTAACATAGTCTGATTCCAGTAAGTCAAACTCTCCTATATCTTTGCCATGGTGCAGCTGAGGGCTTTGAAGAGGTTGGCTTTTACCTATACTGGAAGAGAACCTAACCTGCTTTAGTCTTTCTAGAGAATTTTGTGAGGAGTCTTCTTCAGGAGGATTTGTTTCAGCTACTTTTTCGAGAGCAGGTAAAGAGGGCAATCCAGTCTTACTCTGTTGGTCAAAAATCTGATTAACACGAAGAACTTCTGAATCAGTGGAACTTGAACTCGAACTGCGTTTCAGAATCCCCCTAGGTGGTGTGCCAGCACCATTACCCCAATCGGTCCTTTTAGCAGGTTTGGGAAAAGAACCATCTTTCTCCAACATGGGATCTGTTATTTTGTAGATGACTTTTCTAGCTTTTGGTACAGGAGGCTGATCTACCTCTCTCTGGGACTCATCAGTTAGTTCTCCAGAAGCCTGCCTATGTTCCTTTGACCTATTGTTTAGTAAGTTTCTCTTGGATTGGCTCTCCTTTGAAGGTGACAGTGACTCTGCAAAGACAAGCCATGTACTGGAAAACAGATCAAGCTTAAGTACATGCATTTAGTTTAAGCATCAAGTGTTCTACATAGAAAAGACAAGGCAAAAGCATTTTTGCAGCTCTAGGATTTAATGCAAAAAAAGACAAAGATAACATGAATGGTCAAAGCATTAAGCAATATAAAAGTACCCACTCTTGGAACAAGTAAATTAGAAAACTAAGAAGTTATCCAACTTTATATTAGATTTAACTTCTTTGTACTATAGAGTGCTGATAGACAGGCATTCTTACCACAAAGAAACATAACTCAAAAGTCAGAGCTCTGTAAACATTTAATCAGTACAGTTCTTGTAGAGTTCATTTTTATTACTGTGTCTTGTATTTGTGTCTGTCAATTTTTGTACAATGTTGTCAGAGTCACATGGAAAACTTAGTAAAAACTTGCCCACTTAGGACAAGTGTTATAAAAAAAATGCAGTTAGTACACACTTGTCCCCTTCCCCTATTGGCAAGCATCATGGCAGAAAGCAGGATAAGTAATTTTGCAGTATGGGGCATGAGTCATTTACAGGTTTAAACTAGGGTAAATGGTGAATTCTCTCTAACTTGAAGTCTTTAAATCATGATTTAAGGAGTTCAATAACTCAGCCCAAGTTAGGGGGTTGGTTTGTTAAGGAAGTGGGTGGGTAAGGTCCTGTGACCTGCAACGTGGAGGAGGTCAGACTAGATAATCATGATGGTCCCTTCTGATATCAAGTCTGTCAAAGAAACAACATGAGGATGAGATCAAATGTTAGGACCCTAGCTTGATCCCCTGCTGCTGAGCCAAGAGAAGCAATGATTGAGACTGCTGCAAAGACAGAAAAGAGAATATCTTAAACTGCTTTTGTGCCAATGAATCCTCAAGAACTTTGTAATACGGAAGCTCCCCTACTCAGCTGGGTGGATACTGGTTTGTCTTCTTCCCACAGCGTGTAGTCAACCTGTGGAACTCCTTGCCAAAGGAGGCTGTGAAGGCTAAGACTATAACAGAGTTTAAAGAGAAGCTAGATAATTTCATGGAGGTTAGGTCCATAAAAGGCTATTAGCCAGGGGATAGAAGTGGTGTCCCTCGCCTCTGTCAGAGGCTGGAGAAGGATGGCAGGAGACAAATCGCTGATCACTGTTTTCGGTCCACCCTCTCTGGAGCTCCTGGTGCTGGCCACTGTCAGCAGACAGGGTACTGGGCTAGAAGGACCTTTGGTCTGACCTAGTACGGCCGTTCTTATGTTCTTATGTCCACACTGCAGTTAGACACCTGCAGCTGGCCTAGGTCAGCTAACTGGGGCCTGGGCTAAGAGTCTGTTTAATTGCACAACAGATATTTGGACTCGGACATTAGGGTCCTATGGCTTGGGCATCAGTCCAAGCCTAAAAGTCTATATTGTAGAATCATAGAACTGGAAGGAACCTTGAGAGGTCATCAGGTCCAGTTCCCTGTACTCATGGCAGGGCCAAGCACCATCCCTAGTAGGTGTTTTGTTAAACAGCTCCTTAGCACAAGCCCCAATAGTCCAAGTCAGAAGACCTGAGCCTGCTGTGGGTTTTTAATTACAGCACAGTCCTGAAGAACAGGCAGGACACAGGCTCATGAGACAATAGGTAAAACTCTGCTAAATTCTGCTTTAGTACAGGATTTTTAAAAGATTTCCCTACCCTCCCCCCCAGAAAATGTATTGTCTCAGGAAAATGACAGTCAACTTGGTGACAATACCCCTGAAGAATTACTTATAAAACATGTAGATTTAAAGAAAAAAATAGTTTTACCTTCATTTGGCATCTGGGATACGTCAGTAGTTCCACTTTCTGAGGCCCTACTTTTTATGTTGTGTTCGGGTGCAGTAAAGTCATTAAATGGATTTTTCCTTTCCTAGAAAAGAATGGACATAAAACATATGTCATAAGTTTAACAGAACTGTAGTAGTAACAAAAACATGAAAATACCAGGATGTCACCAATGCAGAATAAGGTTTAAACATGCCTCTCATAAGACAGACAGAAGAAGTGGCAAAATAGTGACGTTAAAGGATTGTGCAAGTGCTTAGTCTAACTCTACTCCCTTTAAAGCCAGCAGGAACAGACCTAGGACATTTGAAAACCCCTCCTTTGTGAACTAAGCGCTTCAGGAGCACAGCTGCAGTGCACTTCAATAGAGACAATATAGCAAGAGGAATTTGCCCACTGTTGTAATGAATCCACCTCCTCTAGAAGCGATAGTTAGCTCAATATTAGAATTCTTCTGTCAGCCTCGTACCATTGATGCTGTGGTTTAGGTCAACTTAACCTCTCATCAGGTGTGGATTTTTCACACCTCTGAGACACAAAGCTATGCTGATGTAAGTTTCCAGTGCAAACCAAACTTTAGGGTCTGTCTACACTACCGGTTAAGTCAATATAACTTATGTTGCTCAGGAGTGTGAATCCTTCTTCCCTGCAGTGATGTACGGTTACATCAACTTAAAGTGCTGTCTATACTGCACTATATCAGCATGTGATGCTTTCCCATCACTAGATGCACTGTATTGATGTAGCTACACTGATACAGTGTGGCAGGGAAACAAACCCTTTGATAGTCTCATTTCTGCTATTGTGACTCCCAAAAGGGATTCAGACCTATGAGAAGATTCAAGCGAAATTGGAACAAAATAAAACGGAGGCAATTCTCTCTGCAGGGTGAAGAGGTCTATATTGGCTCCATATATAGGTAAGGGATGAAAAATTTCTGTCTGCCTCTCAAACATGCTGAAGAGGAATCCTATCAATCCGCCATTTTATACATCATGCACCATTGCCTTCAGCAATATCCTAAAGTTTTGATTCTTCTGTCTAAATTCTCCCTGTTTTTTAGTGGAGTGTCAAAGTGGCAAAAGATTAGCTTTAAAAAGCCATTCCTGGCATACCATTGCTTAACCTACCTTTGCTGGTGACACAGCTACCTTCTTTGACCTTTCCTGTGGTTTGTCTAAGGTTGTAGCCAATGCATTAGAACTACAAGAGAACAACAACAAGTTGGTTAGCGTGAAGGCTATAAATATGAAAATTCAGCTGTGACATGCTTGTAGAAAACATAATCCAAATGTGAGAGTCCTCTTTTCAGTTTGTTTCTCTTTGTTCTGGAAGCAAGCTTCTTACCACCTTTCCCTATGCAGGAAGGAGAAATTTTGTGAGAAGACATTTGTAGCATAACACTTCAAAGTACACAAGAAACAGTGAAATTGATGTATCGCACTGCTGGCAAGCTCAGTGGAGAGGTCAGGGACTGAGACAGCACAAAGTGAGAAGTGAATTCTCCTAAATCAGGGATAAGCCACAATCGCAAGTGTAAGTAGGAAATCTCAACTGCTGCTGCTCATGCTGTACCTGGATAAGCAGAAGATCTATCCCCTTTCTTACATACTAAAGTCACATGCATTTTAAGAATAAGTTCAGGGATAGCTGACTTGGATGCAAGAGGCTCCAGGATTAGTGTTCACCGACAATGCAAATTATTAGCCCAGAGCCTTTTCGGGATTAAGAAACTGATTTTTTTACACAGTGATTCCAAACATGAAGAGAGGACCTGAACTCTACCCTTCCTTAGGCTGCATATTTTACATTTTCAATCTACATATCATCAGAGAAAATATTGACAGATTGAGTCATTCTATTGAAATTCCTTCTGCGCAAGGTTATACCTCCAAAGACACACTTCACACACCTAGCTCACAAAAAGTTATAGAATCATAGAATCATAGGACTGGAAGGGACCTCAAGAGGTCATCGAGTCCAGCCCCCCGCCCTCAAGGCAGGACCAAGCTCCACCTACACCATCCCTGACAGATGTCTATCTAACCTGTTCTTAAATATCTCCAGAGAGGGAGATTCCACCACCTCCCTTGGCAATTTATTCCAATATTTGACCACCCTGACAGTTAGGAATGTTTTCCTAATGTCCAATCTAAACCTCCCCTGCTGCACTTTAAGCCCATTACTCCTTGTCCTGTCCTCAGAAACCAAGAGAAACAAATTTTCTCCTTCCTCCTTGTGACACCCTTTTAGATATTTGAAAACCGCAATCATGTCCCCCCTTAATCTTCTTTTTTCCAAACTAAACAAGCCCAGTTCATGAAGCCTGGCTTCATAGGCTTCTCTAGACCTTTAATCATTCTTGTCGCTCTTCTCTGTACCCTTTCCAATTTCTCCACATCTTTCTTGAAATGTGGCGCCCAGAACTGGACACAGTACTCCAGCTGAGGCCTAACTAGCGCAGAGTAGAGCGGCAGAATGACTTCACGAGTTTTGCTTACAACACACCTGTTAATACAACCTAGAATCATATTTGCTTTTTTTGCAACAGCATCACACTGTTGACTCATATTCAACTTGTGGTCCACTATGACCCCTAGATCCCTTTCCGCCATGCTCCTTCCTAGACAGTCGCTTCCCATCTTGTATGTATGGAACTGATTGTTCCTTCCTAAGTGGAGCACTTTGCATTTCTCTTTATTAAACCTCATCCTGTTTACCTCTGACCATTTCTCTAACTTGCTAAGGTCATTTTGAATTATGTCCCTATCCTCCAAAGAAGTCGCAACCCCACCCAGTTTGGTATCATCCGCAAACTTAATAAGCGTACTCTCTATCCCAATATCTACATCATTGATGAAGATATTGAACAGTACGGGTCCCAAAACAGACCCTTGAGGAACTCCACTTGTTATCCCTTTCCAGCAGGATTTAGAACCGTTAACAACAACTCTCTGACTACGGTTATCCAGCCAATTATGCACCCACCTTATCGTGGCCCTATCTAAGTTATATTTGCCTAGTTTATCAATAAGAATATCATGCGAGACCGTATCAAATGCCTTACTAAAGTCTAGGTATATGACATCCACCGCTTCTCCCTTATCCACAAGGCTCGTTATCCTATCAAAGAAAGCTATCAGATTAGTTTGGCATGACTTGTTCTTCACAAACCCATGCTGGCTATTCCCTATCACTTTATTACCTTCCAAGTGTTTGCATATGATTTCCTTAATTACCTGCTCCATTATCTTCCCTGGGACAGACGTTAAACTGACCGGTCTATAATTTCCTGGGTTGTTCTTATTCCCCTTTTTATAGATGGGCACAATATTTGCCCTTTTCCAGTCTTCTGGAATCTCCCCTGTCTGCCATGATTTTTCAAAGATCATAGCTAAAGGCTCAGATACCTCCTCTATCAGCTCCTTGAGTATCCTGGGATGCATTTCATCAGGACCTGGTGACTTGCTGACATCTAACTTTCCTAAGTGATTTTTAACTTGTTCTTTGTGTATCCTATCTTCTAAACTTACCCTCTCTCTGCTTGTATTCACTACGTTAGGCACACCTCCAGACTTCTCGGTGAAGACCGAAACAAAGAAGTCATTGAGCATCTCCGCCATTTCCAAGTTCCCTGTTACTGCTTCTCCCTCCTCACTAAGCAGTGGGCCTACCCTGTCCTTGGTCTTCCTCTTGCTTTTAATGTATTTATAAAAGGTCTTCTTGTTTCCCTTTATGCCTGTAGCTAGTTTGATCTCATTTTGTGCCTTTGCCTTTCTAATCTTGCCCCTGCATTCCCGTGTTGCTTGCCTATATTCATCCTTTGTTAGTTGTCCTAGTTTCCATTTTTTATATGACTCCTTTTTTATTTTGAGATCATGCAAGATCTCCTTGTTAAGCCAAGCTGGTCTTTTGCCATATTTTCTATCTTTCCTACACAGCGGAATTGTTTGCTTTTGGGCCCTTAACAACGTCCCTTTGAAATACTTCCAACTCTCCTCAGTTGTTTTTCCCTTCAGTCTTGCTTCCCATGGGACCTTACCTACAAGTTCTCTGAGCTTATCAAAATCTGCCTTCCTGAAATCCATAACCTCAATTGTGCTGGTCTCCCTTCTACCTTTCCTTAAGATCATGAACTCTATTATTTCATGATCACTGTCCCCTATACTGTCTTCCACTTTCAAGTTCTCAACTAGTTCCTCCCTATTTGTTAAAACCAAATCCAGAACAGCTTCTCCTCTGGTAGCTTTTTCAACCTTCTGAAACAGAAAGTTGTCTCCAATGCAGTCCAGAAACTTATTGGATAGCCTGTGCCTCGCTGTGTTAGTTTCCCAACATATGTCTGGATAGTTGAAGTCCCCCATCACCACCAAATCTTGGGCTTTGGATAGTTTTGTTAATTGTTTAAAAAAGGCCTCATCCACCTCTTCCACCTGGCTAGGTGGCCTGTAGTAGACTCCTAGCATGATATCACCCTCGTTTTTTACCCCTTTTAGCTTAACCCAGAGACTCTCTACACAGCTATCTCCTACGTTCATCTCCACTTCAGTCCAAGTGTGTACATTTTTAATATACAAGGCAACCCCTCCTCCCTTTTTTCCCTGTCTGTCCTTCCTGACAGAATGTGCTCAGCATGTTTGTCTTAGACCTGCCCACTCTTCCCTGTTGAAGAAACAAAAACATGAACAGGGAAGAACTGTTCATTCTTCTTTTAAAAGACTAGGGGGGCAGTGTCCCCTGCTCTCTCTGCTTCCAAACTCAGCCCGGAACTCCACTTGTTATCCCTTTCCAGCAGGATTTAGAACCGTTAACAACAACTCTCTGACTACGGTTATCCAGCCAATTATGCACCCACCTTATCGTGGCCCTATCTAAGTTATATTTGCCTAGTTTATCAATAAGAATATCATGCGAGACCGTATCAAATGCCTTACTAAAGTCTAGGTATATGACATCCACCGCTTCTCCCTTATCCACAAGGCTCGTTATCTTATCAAAGAAAGCTATCAGATTAGTTTGGCATGACTTGTTCTTCACAAACCCATGCTGGCTATTCCCTATCACTTTATTACCTTCCAAGTGTTTGCATATGATTTCCTTAATTACCTGCTCCATTATCTTCCCTGGGACAGACGTTAAACTGACCGGTCTGTAGTTTCCTGGGTTGTTCTTATTCCCCTTTTTATAGATGGGCACAATATTTGCCCTTTTCCAGTCTTCTGGAATCTCCCCTGTCTGCCATGATTTTTCAAAGATCATAGCTAAAGGCTCAGATACCTCCTCTATCAGCTCCTTGAGTATCCTGGGATGCATTTCATCAGGACCTGGTGACTTGCTGACATCTAACTTTCCTAAGTGATTTTTAACTTGTTCTTTGTGTATCCTATCTTCTAAACTTACCCTCTCTCTGCTTGTATTCACTACGTTAGGCACACCTCCAGACTTCTCGGTGAAGACCGAAACAAAGAAGTCATTGAGCATCTCCGCCATTTCCAAGTTCCCTGTTACTGCTTCTCCCTCCTCGCTAAGCAGTGGGCCTACCCTGTCCTTGGTCTTCCTCTTGCTTTTAATGTATTTATAAAAGGTCTTCTTGTTTCCCTTTATGCCTGTAGCTAGTTTGATCTCATTTTGTGCCTTTGCCTTTCTAATCTTGCCCCTGCATTCCCGTGTTGCTTGCCTATATTCATCCTTTGTTAGTTGTCCTAGTTTCCATTTTTTATATGACTCCTTTTTTATTTTGAGATCGTGCAAGATCTCCTTGTTAAGCCAAGCTGGTCTTTTGCCATATTTTCTATCTTTCCTACACAGCGGAATTGTTTGCTTTTGGGCCCTTAACAACGTCCCTTTGAAATACTTCCAACTCTCCTCAGTTGTTTTTCCCTTCAGTCTTGCTTCCCATGGGACCTTACCTACAAGTTCTCTGAGCTTATCAAAATCTGCCTTCCTGAAATCCATTACCTCAATTGTGCTGGTCTCCCTTCTACCTTTCCTTAAGATCATGAACTCTATTATTTCGTGATCACTGTCCCCTATACTGTCTTCCACTTTCAAGTTCTCAACTAGTTCCTCCCTATTTGTTAAAACCAAATCCAGAACAGCTTCTCCTCTGGTAGCTTTTTCAACCTTCTGAAACAGAAAGTTGTCTCCAATGCAGTCCAGAAACTTATTGGATAGCCTGTGCCTCGCTGTGTTAGTTTCCCAAC